AAGGGCAAATGAGAAAGTACCTAATAGTATACAGACCAGGTCATCAGATGGGTAAGCTGGATTTTAGTCCTGGTCCTTGGCTGCTTGTCTTTTACAATTCACCAGCGTTAAATGTTAATGGAAATAATGCTGGGAACAGCACTCTTTTTCACTTAATGACTTTTTTCCTCATGAATTTGTATTCTGCACAGTGTCCCCACTTCAACAGAAAGAACAGATGTGTTAATTTGGGCGGGGGGGGGAGGGAAGTTATTACAGAAAAGTTGTAGCAGGAAGGCAAAGCAGGATGGAACTCAAAGCTGAACTACAAGAAAGAAGGAAGCTTTCAGAGCAGAAAAAGGAAGTGAAGCGAGGAAGATAAGGATGTACCTGGTTATACTTACACAGAAGGACAACTGTTATACTTGGAAAAGTGCCTTTGTATCTGGAAAGAGGCATTCTGGCAGGGTAAGATTTACTGAACAGGAATTGCTGTAGTTGGTTTAAGTACAGAGATTTCTGTTGCCCAAACCTGGCTTGGCAGCGAGAAAGGGAATGTTTTCATCTGTATTTCCCCAGGCCTGGAAAGGAGAGGAACAGCAGAGATTATGACTTATTCCTTGTGCTTCTATGACTGGCGCTTTGTGGTAGCATGCCCTAAAAGTTGAGATGTGGCCAAAACATAATTCAGTTTCAGCGTAGAACGTTTGTAACACAGAAAGCCTTCAGCCAGATTGACTTTGTGTGTTGGTTCTACCTCTAATTAAAGTATCATCACTTGAATTATACATGCATATATGTAAAATATGAGGAAAAATATAATTAATTACTACGGTAATCCAAACAGTGATTGATCTCAAGTAATAAACACATAGATTAAGATAGAATATTCTGGTCAATGACAAAAGGCAAAAGTTATGTGTTTTGTTCTTTGACCTGGTTTGCTGGGGGTTTTTTGCAATGACCATTTGAGTATTCAGTACCAATGAAATGTCTTAAGGAACCTGAACCTTGTGAATCAACTGTTTAGCAATCTGACAACCAGTTTATTCAAAAGTGAGGAAATTTACAGAGGCAACTTCAGACTTTGTCCATTCTATTCCTGTAACAGTACTTATGGGAAGCCAAGGACTGTGTTCAGAGTTTAGCAATGCCTTAAAGGTTGTCTAATCCCAGTACGGTAAATATAAGAGTCTAAGGAGGAGCCCAAGCTCCCTATAAAATCAAGACAGAAAGTCTGCATCTAAAAGTCGCTTGGAATAGCCAGCTGAGACAACTCTAAGGAGACCTCTATAGGTTAATGCGCCTTCTGGTTGGCCAGAAAGCCAACCAGAGCAGAAGTTAGCAAACTGGGAGTAGGGCAGGAAGCACAGAAAGTAACTTTGTTAGTGTGAGAAGTCCCAAGATAGCTTCATGCCTGGCCAGCTGTGCGACATGGTAGCAGCTAATGTGCTTGGCAAGTGTGCAGTAACCCCAACTACCATTTCTTCTTATTCCTGACTGAAGTAGTGGAGCCAGGGATGACTGCTTGCCCAGGATGGAGGGAAGGAGTTTAAAAACAAAAAAAGGAAGGACTTACTTATTCTAAAAGTCTGCCATTTGCTGCCAGAAGAAAATCTAAGTGTGCGTATGTGTCAAAATGAGACCAGTTAATACTTCTTCATAGATCCTGAGTACTTACAGAAGCCCTTCTGAGTGCTCTTGCAAAAACAGCAAGAAACCAAAGATCCCTTTTCCAAGTAAGTGTTTATTCACTTTTGGTTTGCCCCTTTTTCTGGTCCCATGCTTCTGTAGTCTATGTAGGATGATGGCTTAGCCTAGCTAGGACTGAAGCATGTAATAGACCCAGAAGAGCCTATTTTATGGTGGTTAGGACATCTACCTAATGTGTGATAACTGGATCTCGGTCCTACCAGATCCCAAGTATATCTAACCATGAGCCTATTGTACAAAAGGACTAGTGATGGCACTTTCTGAAAGCACCTGGGTTTTTCTTGAACCCAGTGCTGACTGTAATCATTCTGTGGTCTTTGGCAGCGTTTAAGTGCCCTCCTTTTTCATTTCTGAATTGCAGCAGCGCTTAGGTGTCTGTTTCCCCCAGCTTGGAATTAGCCTCTCTAATTCATTCAGAGATTTTTGGTGCCTAACAAACAGTCATCTAATCTGAGATCTGGACAAGTGAGTACAATTTGGTTCTAGGCAAAATATAACTTTGATAACGACCTAAACATTAAAATATTTTATAAATTACAAGGCTTCATAGTATGGAACTACCTTTTCCATATTACCTGTTGACAAATCTTAGAAACAGAGAAGTACAGTCATGCTTGTCTATAGTCATCCCACTTTTTAATTATTTGGGATGATTCTTTCCTATGGCACAATTATTCCACAAAATTCATTTCTACTATATTTAACAAAGGATCAAAACAGCCAGCTATCATTTGACATGCTGACCTATGTCAAAGTGCATGCGGCGTATTCACGGTCCAGTTCTCATTAGCAGTTGTTGAAAGAAAGGGCTTATATGATTGGTGGAAAAAAGTTGCCATTAGGACACATTAGGAAAGAAAAACTGTAACAATGGTTGTACTCCATGCAAGCATATATGATTTTACCCTTATATTAGGCATTGATCCTTCCTAGTGATGAAGCAAGCTAGCAAACTCTGAACAGGGGGTTGACCTCTTGAGAGTTAGATGCCTCTGTGGACATAGCTTTGACACAACAGAGCAACGTCCTCTAGCTAAAATAACCTCCTAAGCAATGCATGCGTTTGTGGCTTTCGTCTGCCTCCTTTATTGAATCTTTGTGGATTAAGAAAGGCTACTTAATCTGTAGAGTATGTGATCCATAATAAGGACTGGTCCATGCATAGGTTGTTCCTAATGCTGTGCAAACCAGGATGGACTGCAGGGGCTTTGGAAATTCCCACAAGGTGCTGTACACTTATTGTTTAGCCTGCAGAATCATTTCTCAAATGAAACACTGCTGGAGAAGTGCCAAAAACTGGCTACCCCCAGTTTGTCCATTATGTATGGCTGTGTCTTCCTAGCCCGTTAACAGCTGTGGCTGAGGAAAGTACTGTATCCATAGGAATACTCAGATTGTTTTGACTGTGGCTATGAGAACACTTCTCAGGATAGCCTAGGTTGAAATCATTAACTATGCTCAAGCTGCACAGAATGCAAGCAACACAAAAGGAGGGCTGCAGAGGTGACCAAATGCTGCAGCTACAGATCAGCCATCCTTCATCGACTTCTGCCTAAGAGCTCAGAAGTGCCTTAAGATATAGTTGTCACACAGTCATTTCCCAACTTCTTCCGCTTGCCTTCACTGTGGATTCACTAGTTGCTAGCTGAAATGGTGAACGCATATAGATTGATCTGTGCAAACACAGCAGCTATTTTTTGAAAAGTCTGTCTTTTTGTTGTTATATTAAAATAGCAAGCCCAAAAAACAATCAAAACACTGCATGTAGAGCACCAGTGCCCAATCACACCACGTTTGCCATGTCTTCCAGCAGGGAGCAGTACGGAGCAGTCCCATATGGCAAGAGAGGGGCCCATCCATCATGCGAGCACCTTGCTCGCGTGGTATCTGGGCTACCACAGCAGAGATGAGTTACAAGCAAGATTGCATTTGGAGTTGGAGAAGGGAGGAGGGCAGCACAGAGGATGTTGCTTCTAGCACATCTATGGGGAGAAAAGGGCTTTTGAGGGAGCAAAGGGCACGTGGATGCCAAAAGGCCATTCAGTTTAGAAGAAAAGAACACATAGGCTAGGACGGGTTGTGCACAGCCATAACATTGCAGCGCTGGATTCCTCTGAACATTTTCTCTTCCATTTCCTAGCTCCACTACCACAAGCGATGACAGGTGGGTCTAAGGTTCAGTCCCTCATGACCAACTACTAACTACAGGAACTATTACTACGCATTTAAATTGCTGCAAGACTGATGCCTCCTGGCTTTTTGGCATATGCATTAGGCCATGTTAGGACCATAGCAATCCATGGAATAATCTGGAGCCCCTAGGACTCCAGCACTGGCTTCTGAAATGAAATGAAAAAGGATCTGGGAGGCATTTCACGTGCATAGCTGAACTGTACAAGAATAATAATGCAACACATAAAGAAAGTGAAGAGAAATTCTGAAGTAGGTAGTGTGCAATTTAACTTAAACTAGGATATTCTAAACATATCAAGCTTATCAAACTTGTTCTCTAGGGAGTGCCCTGAAATCTGAAATGTTTCTTTTGGAAAAACCATTGATTTATGCTGTGTTTGCACAAAACCATAAAGCCTTTCTATTTGTTCAGTTAGTAGACTAATCAGGATGAACTCCATATTCTTTGCCACTTCCAAAAAGATATCCTCTGACAGAGATTTAATGGATGTTTCATCCAATTAAATGTGTAGGATGGAACCTACTCTTTCCAGTTTTTTGATCATAGCTCCAAATTCAAATGCAACTGAAAAAATATGAACAAAAATCTGAAGTTGTAAGGGCTTTGCATCATTTACCTTTAAAGAAGTTTCAAGACAACTGTAAACAAACCAGCCTAGTAAGAGAAGTCTTTTTTCATTTCTTTTTAGGTTTCTTTAATAAAGAATTTATACTGCTGAGGTGATGAATTACAGCATTTATCTCTGAAAATAAAACAGCCAGCTGTCAAGACCAATTCTTTGAAGTCCACTGCATGGACTTTGCTAACTACGTACGTAATATTAACCATTCAAAACTGAATTGGATATCCTCAATCATTCATCAGGCTTTGAGTTAGCCTTATAGGTGGGAAAGGTACACTTCAATATCATACACAGACACATTAAAGAAATGCCTCTCCAATTAATATGTTCCACTAATGTTTCCAGTACTGTAAGTCAGTTTTATTTGAAAAATAGACTCCAAACATCATTTTTCATAAGGTGCAACATATATACTGTTTTCTACAATTAAAAAAAAAACAAAGCAAAACAATATTCATAACTATAGTGTCATTCCAACACTGAATCAGTGGGTCTTCTGTAATTTTTTAACATTCTTCTTTTCTGCTTTGTCAAAGCATAAGAATTAATAGCTGGTATTACAGTGACAGCCAAAGGATCTGGCTAATATCATCCATGTTCTATACTTTTATAATAGACTTTCTGGTGCGGATTGCTTCAAGTACACATCAGAAGCTGAATGTAACTTAACACAGTCCATGCAAAACAAAGGTACAATACTGAACTTGCATCATTTAAAGAAAGATTTTTTGTTCTCTCATTTGGTTTGACATCATCGGAGTCCAACAGATTGAACAGCAAAATTGAACTGTGGTTGTATAAACTGAGAACTATATCCTAAAGTTCCTATGAAACTCTTCTTAGATTAATCAGGCTCTGTAACTCTATCTTGAGTTCTACAGATTCAAATAAATACTTAAGGCTGAGATATATGCCTCTTGGAGTCTATTCAGTAACTTCTGAGACACATTTGGGAATACAGATGGAAAACACTGACTGATAATGGGCTTGTTATGGGGATTTACATTAAATCATTTCATTAGAACCGCATTTTTGAGAAAAGTGTGTTCTTAATTTATGTTAAGAGAGTTTCTCATTCAGCCACTGAGGCTAAAAGAGCAATGGAGACAATACAGGATGGCGGAAAGTTAACAGAAGAACTTGCAGCCAGCTGCTGACTGTCTCTGTAAGCATCTGAACTTTTAAGTAAGTTTTTTAATTAGCAAAGTCTGTCCGGTTTCAAAGCTCTCCTTGTCATTCTAGCACCACCTCAGCCTTGATAATGCTAAGCATCTGGAAGCTAGCTATTCCTGTGCCATTTCGGGAGAGTTAGATTTCAGTCCCTGCCCTAAGATGTTTTAAAGTATTTTGAACAGACATTGGAACAAGGAGAGGCAGTCTAACCACTCATGCATACAGTTATACATCCAAAGCTTTCTCTCTTTGACCCTTTAAATATTTAACCGTTCCATCTAAAGAGGAACAGGTTTCACAGAAAAGAGCTGGACTCCCATTTACCTGCCTTCTACTTGGGCGGTAGTCCTAGGGTCAGCCTGCACCTGCAATAAGTGCATGAGTCTCAATTCCTTTCCTGGTGTTTCTTTTAAACCACCATGATGGCTTTGTGGATCCCATTCTTAAATCCTTAAGGCTCCTCATGTGCAGTTGAATAAGCCTAAGTGATAAGATAGATATCACAAGGCTGACTTGGTTTTAATGGATCAGGCCTCTGGGTATTAACAGGAATTAGCCACTCAGGATTTTGCCTGTGCATAGCCTTGGACTGAGTTTAAGCTGATAACCCAAGTAAGTAAGTCACTGCCCAAATGAGTTTCTAGTCACTGTTATTTTAATCTCAGCTAGCTCAGTTATCTGTCATTTTTCTCAGGAAATGACAATTTTTTCAGTGTTGATGTTCTATCCTGGTTACTATTAGCAAACATTGCCCTCAGTACTATCAACACTCCTCGGAGTTAGCTCCGCCATGGACTAAATGCAAATGTGTTGTGGACTGAAATTTCCTTGGCTAAGAGAGAAGGCTTTAGACCTGCCATTTTCCCTGACCTACATCTAGCAAAGAGTTTGCTCTAAAACAGCAGGTAAAAGGGATTTTTTTTTCCAACTTCTTTCTCTTGACTTATGAGGAGAAGAGTTATTTAAAAGCATTCAGGTAGGGAGAGTATGCTAATCTGTTTCCTGTGTAAACATAAAGGGAGATGGATAAAATGTTAATCTAATATGTATGTATTCAAATTAGACATTTTTAAAAGTGGAAAAATAGACCACAATTCTTTCAGTTTTAATTTTAGAATAAGATTGCCCTCAAAAGTCAAGCTACTTATCTCAGTCCAAATCCCTTTGATTCAGTAGTTTTGGGTAGAAACTGATAGTTGTACTACACTTCTTGTTGGTTTTAGTTACAGGAATTCATTGATTCTTCAGGTGACATCTCTGTTCAAATGAAGGGATACAATTTTTATGAGTTGTGGTGGTTGCTTTGGTTGCTTTTTTATGAGTTCGGTTGATGACTGCTTCACAGACAAACACAAGAAACAACAGTATTGTGTATCATTTCCTAGTTTCAGAAGAAAAGGTTTGCTTGGTCATATAGTTTACATAGTTTTAACAATATTCCTTTAATAATGCATTGTACTGCAGATGTTCAGTTAGCAGAAAGTACACACTGAAATATTTATGGGCTTTGGCCAGAGTTACATGTATTTATGTCAATCTCTTCAGATGCTATTGTTAAATGGAGTATTTAGCAGATTAAAATTATCCCTATACTTCCGTTTCTTTTACTTGAACAATTTGGGCCATACGTTGTGTGAATACAGTGGGACACCAGAAGGAAGCAGGGTCATTGGAGACAACACGAGAAATTGGTGACATGTAACGCTGGGCATTTAATTTAGAGTGCACCTGGCTTCTTGTCTCTGTTCAGGGACACAGTGATCATGCACATTGCCTACAAGTTGACTCAACAGTCTGGCTTTTGTAGCAAGCAACAGGCTCTTCTGGTATGAAAGGACTCACTTAAAACTCCATGCCTGAAGACCTTTTGGATGCCGTGGACTTGAGCTAAAGTTATCTGTATGAAGATGAGCAAAGGTGCCAAAGGTCTTAGACATCTAAATGAAGAGCCTGAACTCTCAGAGAATCAGAAGACCTTCCTGAAGAAGATTTGCAGGTCATCTAAGTTAGGATCCAAACTCTCTCCAGTGATTATCTTTAAGCTTTTAGGAAGAAACAAAATATTAGGCAGTGTGTATTCTGTGTTACTGAAAGTAGAATTTGGTCTTCTGTTACTGATAGCAGTACTGACTAAAGTAAACCTATATTAATACAGACAATGTTGACTCAGTGCATCTCTTAGTAACAGACAAGATTAAGAAATTTCAGCATTCTTATCTCAGTGGTCTCAGAGGTCCCTACCATGCATGGGCTTTTAAATCTTGTGTTCTTGGAGCAAAAGGATAAATAATTAAAGTTTTGCTATTGTTGTTTACATTCTCAATCTTTTTGATCACTTATCCAGACAAAGTGTTGTGGAGAGGGATTCCACAGTCCTACAACTGGTGGAAGCAGCATAAAGAGTAGATCTTCTACAGAATAAATGTCTGTAGCTCTGTTAAATTAATTTAAATAATCTCTTGGCAGGTGCAGACAAAGGCCAAGAAATGGTAATGAAGAAAAGGAACAAAATGGAGAATCAAGAATCAATGCAGAACTTCATTAGTCTGTGAAAAATGATGATGCTCCTTTACACACGGGGAGACAGGTGAGAGACTGAATCTCTTGTCGCTCACATTGAGAGGTGGACAGCAGTCTTTTTTCTGCCTGTGAAAAATTCATCCATGGGCTTTTATGCTTTTTCCTGTTGTCATAGCAAACCACTTAACGTTAAGTTTTACAGTATCTGTATGCAAAACTGCATAGAGAAATAATAAATGCTTACAAATAAGTTACATTTTAACATTAATAAAGGGAAACTGACGGACAAAAATGATGTATAAAATTCAAAGGACTGAAGCAGGAAACAGGGGACAATATGCTTTAAAGTGAAATGACGTGTGTTCTTGCTCCTTTAACGCCAGTCCTGATTTGCTTCATTTTTACAAAAATAAATGAAGATGATGAAATTTATCATTTTTAAATATGATAGCTTTTTTCCTCGTGAAAATAGCATAATTCAGTAGCTAGTAAATAGCCATGATTTCAGGAACAAAAACAACTGACATTACTCATACACACTCTCTAGTGTGGAGCACAAAGCTTTGTATCTGTTCATAACTTGTACACAAACAGTGTCTGCTAGTCTTCACACCTGCCTCATGAATTACTATGAATGTTGATGTATCCCACTGGTGCTCCTGGCTCTTTTCCTCTAAGCACCACATCACTTACTTACACCCACAAATGCACCAATTGAGCTGTTAGGAAACTCATTAAGGAAACACAGCTTGATGTCTGCAGCTGCTCAGAGCTTCTAAACTGCCTACATCATTAAATAAGTGCCATCCCGCATACACTCCCTCTGTCAGAGGCATATTGGGCCATTTCTCATCCACATTATATTTTCTCTTTAAACAAAATGAAACGCCAAACATCATAGCCTTTGTGTTAATCAAGAAGGGATCCCTTTGAGATTACTTTCTCTCTTCTTCCTTTACCAGTCTAGTTAAACATGATAGATTCAGGGTCCTGGTTTGCCATTTGAGCCATATGTCTTAATACATCCTTTTTAGTTATGATACCCAACAGCCTCCTAGAGGAGAAAAAGAAAGGAAAGGTCAGCAATCATGGTATATATCATCCATTTTCTCTCGTTCAGCTGCAGGGACATTTTATGAGTGCTTCCACATAACACTGTCCATCCCATCCATTCCCCAATGATTATCTTTTATGAAAAGCATTCTCACCTCATGTATTTTTACTACCCCAGCCAAGATCATGAAGTGAAATACTTTCATTTGTTATCTCCTTTTTCTGGGGAAACGTCTGAGTGAGGAGCTGCAATTAATAACACTTTGTATGGAAAAATAATGAGATTCCTTAGGCTCAGACTGCAGAGGATCCACAGCACACAACCGAGGCAACATGACCTGAGCACGAGATTTAGTGGTACACAAACTTAAGCTAAAGCACAGATGTTCTGAAACTCTCGTTATCTGACATTGTAACTCCTTCAACTTTGAGTGATATTTTCTCATTTATGTTCATGAGAAAGTACAATTTTAGGACTGTGATCCTAAATGGACTGTATCTGCCAAGAAAAATGAGGCCTATGAGTGCTAAAAATTTTCTGACCCTCAACCTTGAAGGTTTTTATTTCCGGTCCTTGAAAGCCAGAAGGTACTGAATTCTAGAACCATGTCATTGTTATAATTATCCCACTTTTCCCTTCACGGAAGTTTTACAGCTCAAGATCAAAATTTCCAAACCCAAGCACCTAAAATCAGGACCTAAATCTCCATCCCAAGTAAGGGCCCTTATTTTCTTGAAGCTGAGCACACTGCATTGATTGTAACAGCTGATACGAAGCATATTTGAATAACAAAAAGGTTTTTTATAGGAGTCTAAATTTTAGTCCTCAGCATTTGAAAATGATGGTTCTGGTTTTGCTATCTTATCATAAAGTATGTTCCTGTCACTAGACCTTGAGATAAACAATGCTCTCAAAATAGTTTAAATCCAGTTAGAGTTATGGGATGTTTTTTCTAGTGCACACAAGGCAGCTATTCTACTAGCTATTCTTCTAATTTCATGTTTGCCACCACTTCTTGAGTTGTTTCTTGTGGCCTTTTCATTTATGTGCCTTTCCACTTTCCAGAAAAAAAAGCTGAGCAGACTAGTTTCCCTCCACTGATATCTTTATCATACTCTTCATAAGCATCTAATCTAGCTGCATGTCTAGGAACAGGCCCATCCTTTGCAAACAGTACTTTTTGCCAGATCTTCCTCTGCTGAAGAACAAAATAGAGAGGGACTCTCTAATAGAGTGTTTATTTTGTATTTATCTTTATCTTATCTAAAAGACAATGCACTAAGGATTTGGGAGAACTGCATGAATCATGACAACTGGAAAGGGCAGTTTTGGTTCTGACCCTGATTTCTTCTGCTGTGCTGGAGAGACACTGGACTTGCATCCCTTAGTCCTTCTATCCACAAAATAGACAAAAATATTCACTTAACTGTCTCAAAGGTGCTGATTAATTACTTACTGTTTATTCTTGGCTTTAAATAGGAAAAGTGGTGTTTTTCTTAATGTTAAAGAAAAACTCCTGAGGTTCTGTAAGTGTGCTTGACTGGTGCATCTACTTACCCACTGCGAGTGACAAGACACTGGCGGAGTCCAAGTTTTCGGAAGATATCTACCACTGTCTCCATTGGCGTGTGGTCAGTGACAGTGAACGGGCTCAAGTTGAGAATACGCCGCAGCTTCAGAGGATGAGGACTATTGGGTGGCAGTTCTGGGGGATCTTCAGTGAAATACACGATGGAGTTGCTCACTACCCCATCCTGCCGCTGTCTTGCATTCTCTGTACAACAAAAAGATCAATGTAGATAGTGAATCAGGCTTGATAATAATAAAAAATTATCCTCCTTTGGAAAGCAAAGGTGGGTAGCCTTTTGTCTTTGCTGAGGTGTTGGGAGTCGAGACTACAACCAAACCCTTGAATTTCCTTGTGACATTGTTGGTAGTCCAAAAATATATTCTGATACAAATGTAAACAATGCTTTTACAAGCACATCTTTTTGCTTGGTTGTGATAATATTTTCCTGAATAAACATGCTGTTCCTTGTGTTCCCTAACATCACTAAACCAAACTCTGTCAAATTCAAATGATTATATCATTTCCTCCATTGTGAGAAGTACAGCAGAAACTTGGTCCTAGTCAACTCAGAGGAGTATATCTATTCTCAAACTTCTCAGTGGTGTTTGGGAAATCTGGGCAGGGTGAGTGGATTTATGAACATGATGCTAGTGAAAGACAAATTCACATCCTGGGACTCTGGGGGCTGTGGGGGCATTTTTCTACACTCACACATATCTCTGGGATGCAGGGTGAATTTTGTTGTTTTGCACTCTTTTCCTCAAATAAAGTTTGTTTGTCTACATTTTAACAGGATAGAAAGAAATAAGCCTCCTACTTAAAGAAAAATAGTAATAGGAAGAACAATATCTAGCAGTAAATGAGGTTAATACATCTTTTTCAACAATACATATTTGACCACCTTCCTGAGCTCAAAAGCTATCGTTCATACCTTGAGCAACCTATGAAGTGCGCTTAAAACTACGCCTGGAGTTTTTACATCATTAGTATAAGCCTTTCACTTTAACCTACACCTCCACAATAATTCTAAGAACTGAAGAAGCGGCTTATTTTCTTTGTAGTATTTACCTCATTTCTACTCAGCACAACAGGTTGCTGACAATATGTGAAACTCCAAATAATAAATGCCATCTCTCTCCTCAGTATAAGTGTATCTTATGTTTGCCTCTGACGGTTTAATTCTTTCTTTTTTTCTATATTTTATTTAAATTCTTGGAAATGGCTAGAACTAACATCTTTGATTAATATGGGTTGCCTCTGTTCTTGAGAGGTACAGAAAATCAGATGTACTCAAAGGATATGTATATATTCTTGGAGCTCATTTCCATCAATCAATGTGCAGAAACCTGCTTCTGTGACTTGTAATGTGTAGACAGTAATGATTTCCAAAATGTTACAGCTGTATTTTTTTCCCTTAATGATCATTGTCTTGTAATATTTCTGGAATCAGAGCCATGCTGGCTCAAACCTAATATCATTATGGTATATGATTTTCAACCTTCTCACCCCACATATTATGAGCCCTATTGCAATTTATAGGAATGATGCTAACTTTGTCTCGTCTCGTTTTCATTTATACATCTAATTTTCAAATGTAAGCATGCCTGCATTGCTCTTTGATATATGATCTGTGGTAAGAGGTAACATTAATCAAACTGAAGGTAGCACCCACCCCTTGATAAAAACCCTTGACAGCTAGGTATTTCCTTCCTGAAGCTGTAACGAAAGCAATAGGCCCAAGCATTTAGTGACCACATTCCTGTTCCCAAGGCAGCAATGACCCTGGGCAACAGTGATTAGCCAAAGCCATGACTTCACTTCGTAAAGTCAAATGTCTTTAGAGAAATGCGAGTGATGTAGGACTATTGAGCATATTTGGCAGCATCGTAAAAATGGCAGAGTTTGTATGCAAATTCATTGGATAGGAGAGTTAGAGTGATGGTAAAACAGAAGAATAAGTGATTTTTGTAGTCAATGGGTAAGGAAGATAGACACGGCTTAACAGAAAGAGCAAAGCAAACGGATGACAATGTTTGGCTTTACAGAACAATCTATGCGGAGGGCTCTTGTCTTGGCGAGAGAGTGAATCAGTTCTCTCATATGTGAATTGTGCCTCTCGTATTCAAGAGTTCAGAGTTCACACCCTGTGTTAACCAAGCTGATCTTTTTGACTCCACATTGGGAAATGCAGGCCACACAGATGCTGTCCAAGACTCTACCTTTTGTATGATGCCTCTGAAGCTAGACAAATTTAAGAGCTTTAGCGGTCGAATTCTCCTCACTTTAAGCACGTAAATTAGATGTCACCCAAAATGTAGACACCTATTCCCAAAGGGTGATTCTGACCACCTAAGTTCACCTAACCTGCCTGCACACTCAAGAAAAATCATCAGAATGAAGCAATCCTCCCGAAGGTGTTTCTGAGCAATTAAAAATGGAATTGTCATTCATTTTACGGGGAGCAGAGGCAATTCTGTGGTGTGCTTAGTGCCCTGAATAGTAAGAAAGAAACCACAGAGAGGCAGATCACTAGGCAGAAAGTTGTGTGTGAACAGGTATTTGACACAGGACTGACCGGCTATTGCCTTCATCCAAGGAGTCAGTTACATGAGGGAGTCAGAGTACTTCTCCAGCATAACCCCTGGGACACCACACTGCAAATGCAAGATTTACTGAGCCAGAGAAAGATTCTGATTTGGCTGTGAGTGAGAAGGGACTCCAGGAAGATGGTGTCCCAGTTCCTGGTAGGATGCCGGACTCCCTCTCCCCTGAGCACAGTTGTTCTGTTTCTGCAGAGGATGTAACCGATAGCAGCTCTTTGCATTACCTCCTATGGGACAGAATAGTCTCTTTTTTTTGCCTATTAAATGACAGCTGGACATTCTGGACAGGTTGGATATTTTGCTTTAGGACGTTGTGGCCTTTGATAGTAAATTGTCACATAGAGATGTACACTGGTGTCCTCATCTGTGCCTGCCTAGTAAATCCTACCCAGTCCTACAGTGTGTTACGTGCTTTTGTTACATTGCACATTTTGTTACCGAAATGGGCATCAATAGAACATTATACCTGTCATTCCATGAAACTCCAAATAGTACAGACTGCAGCAACATGAACTGACAGTCTGTTCTCTGCTCACTGCAACAATCACCTACTTAATGTCAACAAATATTCAAGATCTCTAGCAAGAGAATTAATGATTTGGATCTAACAAACTTGCTTTTATGTTCCAGAACATCAGCTGCCACAGATTTGCCACTTCTTCTTTCCAAAGGCTGACATCAAGTCATCGAGATTGCCTCCACTAATCGGCACATATGGTACATCATCCGGAACTAAAGACATTAGCAAAAATTTAAGGCTGTGAGAAATTTCCCTCCTGACAGAAAGAGGCAAAGAGGACGGAGCCACAGCTGAGCCTTCTTACTTTTAACTGTACCTCTATGTAGTGCAATGCATCATCACATAGAGGTACCAAAGCTAGTTCCAAGTGAGCAGGTATCCCGCAGGGCACAACGCAGCAAAAGAAGAGATACTAGTTTGGGCCCTGAAGCAGAACAGTTGTGCCAGACCCATGCATCAGCCAAGCTCGGTAACCCTGCTTTTCAGAAGACTTAATTCCCTAGCTTAAAGCGCTGTACAGATGTGGCTAGACTGTTTCCAAACATAACTCCAGCATCTCTGCATGCTGTCAGGTTGAGCAACAGAGAAGAACCTTAACAGGAGAAATAAAAGATGCTTCACTGCGCATGATGTTTGTCTCTTGGTGAATAAATTTATAGTTTAAGGAGACTTAGGGCATGGCTCCATGAACATACAACTATGAAGCAAGCTGAGGTGGAGATTCACAACACTCTCTGGTTACATACTAGGTATATGTAGTGGCATCTTCTGCAGTAAATGAGAAATAACTTTGCCCTTCAGTAAAAGAGGATTAACTAGCAAAAAGTTGCTAGCATGGTACAAAATCAGTGTTTTGCCCTGCCCTTTATTGGAACCATACGCTATGCCTTTAGAGAAGTGAAACTAAATCCAGATTTTAAGTCACAAAGACACAAACCATACCCACCTAAAATTATGAAGTACTGGAAAGAGTAACCTTTTATCACAGAGTTAGTACAGAATGAAATCAGGAGCTGTCATACTCAGCACAAGAGAAAGAAGGTCATCAAAGGTCTCTGACAACAGAGGCTTTTAGGAAAACTTATCTATGAAGAAAAGTTTTTGATTTTAAATCACTGTTCTGCCTCAGATCCTATTAGAGACACTTTTAATTAGAGCTGAAATAGTATCTTTTCCTCTGGAAAATGTGGATGTCAAAGAAACAGTTTTCCAACAGGAAAACATTTTGATCAAAACTGCTGGCTGAGTTTATTTTTAATTAATTTGTTTGTTATCAGTGCATAACTGGACTTTTTCGCACATCTCCTAGGAAGCCTATTCAACCTTGTTGCCATTTATGAGCTACATCAAAAGAGTCAATTCCTCAGACTTCTCTGACTCACTTCGGACAGTGTCTGATCTTTCTGCTTTTAATGTAAGGGCCCCACATCTTCACTCCATGCATTTTTTTCCACTGCTTGCCTCCCTGCAATGTAAATTCAAAAGCCCATGAAGTTAGGATGGCAGCTAGTGTTACAGCCACAACATGGTGTACACAGAGTACAAACCAGAAACAGGGCAAGCCAAACGCATCTAATTAAGATTTTTTACTTCTCACAAGGGAATACAGAAGGCATTTGAAAATCATTAGCAAAAGCACCATAAAATACAAACTCTATTTATTTTATAAGTGTTTTATTTATTTATTTTATAAGCTCTGGACTTAATCTTGGTGTCATTAAAGCCCTCTGCTATTGAAACTGGCACACTGAGGATCATACCCTTATGGAGACTTTTTTCCCCCTTATTTCTGAAGGAGGGAGGAAGGAGGAACCAGTGATAGTGGGATATGAGCAGAAAAGTTAGATTCTGCAAAATTAATGCAAAATTAATTGAGTTCATAAACTCTTTTCTCTGTAGTTGAAATGACGAATTATGTAGCAGAAGGAAAAAAACGAGAAAAGCATTTCATACTGAAGAGGACGCTGCACAATGTATTATGGGGAGAAAACTGGACTCTATCATTTCTTTTCTTCTCTTACATATAGCATCTCAGTAGTAATAACTTTCTGATATGGGATGAGAAGGGAGGAATCAAGTAACAGCTGTGCACCTTTAAATAAATGAATATAATTTTTGACTCTAATCACTTGGACTGAATCTCTTTACATCCAGGAGACTAAAATAAACACCTCTTTAAAAAAATGCATGCACTGTTCTTCCAAGTCTTATTCTAATTTTGCAAAAAGTTCCTTGTGAGCAAGAAAGTGAGCTTCTGAAATAGCTCTGATTTTCTATTCATGGATTTTATTTCCTAAGGAGTACAGCAGTTTCCTCAGCTCCATTCATCTGACCCAACAGCTTTTTAAAGCTGCCTGTACCACAGGAATGAAACAGGCTCACACAGAGAAGAGTAATTCCACTTCGAGGAGATTTGAGTATTGACATTCCAGGCTGGGCAGCCAACTGAAAACCTTCCACTTCTCTGTACAACGTAAGGCAGCCGTACCCAGCTAGGCAGCAGCTTGCCTACCTGGCTGAACACTGAAACTATAGGACTGCCCAAATTGGGAGCCGGCTGTGGCGTTGATTTGGCCCATGCAGGCAGACTTCTGAAGGCCTGGATACCCTGGGTACAGAGAAGGTGTAAACAATTGCTCTCATGCAACACACTGGCCTTTACAATCCCCACCTAGCCATCAGGCCAACTGGGAAAGGATCTGATGGGTTAAGACTAGTAATGGTCTGGATTGGGGTCTCAGGTAACCAACCAGCTATCTACCAGTCCCTTGACAAAAGTGAGCCATCTTTACTAAACCTTGAGATCTAGTCACATCAAAATCCTCCAGAGGAAAGCTTTACATCCCTGCTGTGAACAGGCTGCAGGTGAGAAAAATGGTGACACTGCAATAGAAAAAAGCACAGGTGGCAGTGGGGACTTGTACCTTGTCCCAGGGTGACAAGGGTTCACAACTGCCCCTGCTGCCACCGAGAGCACATGAACCTCAGGAAGTTCAGCACTGCAGTGGTTTTTGATCAGGTTCTGACAAAACCTTCTGGCCCTATGAGCTGGGTTTCTCTCTGTTCTCTAGCAGAACTGTATTTCACTGTTGTTAGGGATGACAAAATCAAGCCCACAAAAGTCCATCAGGTGGTATGCTGCAAAAGTGCTTCCGACTATGACTCCTAGCAACTAGTAAAAGCCAAACTTTAGGGAAAAAAGCTAGCTTTGGTTCTTATTTTTCCATTCTGCAAGGTGAATAATACTAGTAACATTCTACTCCATCCCTATTAAAATCAGTCATATAGGCACACTGATAACTCTCTACTCACTTATCGCAAGAATCAGCTCTCGTCTCTGTGCAAATCCAATAAGTCTCTCTGAGTCTTTAGAAACCACTACTGGAAAGCCATTGTAGTCAGTCTCCTTGATTAATGTCTCAACATCCTCCACAGTCATGCTGTCCTGTGTCAGAACAGAGAGCGGAGCTTCACCACGCCTTGGCCTCATGACATCCGTTGCCAGGGTTCGGTGAGTGAATTCATCCTTCACGTCCAGAAATGGGTAGCCGTTCAGGTGAATGTGAGCCTCGTAGATCCCTTCCTTCCCAAAGGCATCTGCCACCCACTTGCTTGTGACAGCTGCAGCCATAAGAGGTACGATGTACTCCAGGCCGCCAGTTAGCTCAAACATAATCACCACCAACGAGACAGTCATTCGGGTAACACCACCTGCCAACAAGGAAAGCAGTCAAGTTCCTCTCAGTGCTCTTTTTTAAGTGTACATGTTAAGCAGCTTGTTTGTTTTTGTGTCTTACTTTCAAAAAGGCACAAGATTATTCATGCTGATACTTTGCACTTAAACTTTGTGAAGCATTGTTGTGCTTAGTTCACTGGTGACAGAGATTTCTTTTTCATCTGCTGCAATTTTTGTCAGAAAAAAAAGATCAAGTGGACTTGCTTAAACCAAAGATGCTGACATTGAAAAGCAGATAATGAATGCTAAGAGGCTGAGCTGTCAAACCAGAAAAAACGCAAAAAATTCAATTATCTTGGATACATAAGAAACTAAAATTGGATTCTGCCATTAGACCTCAAAAATGACTCAGAGAATAAGATAAATACCATTGCTGGTACAGGTAGGAGTACATAGCTGGGAGCACTGACAGCTGGCCTTCACGTTAGCTTAGCTATATCCTTTTTACTGAATAAAAATCTAAACATGATCTTTGGGTATGCCATGGTTACAAAATCCTACATAAGGACAGTTTAGGGCCACTGCAAGCCACATTACAGCTTAAACCCTAGTTTTTGATACCAGTATAACATACAGTTTGAACTGTATGCAACTTGGTTTGAGGCCATCTAGGGATGTAGCTGTAGACAGGATCCTAGCCATATTGTTCAATCTAGTCCTTTTGTATTCATTTCATAAGCAATCTGCTTACTCCTTCAGTTTACATTAAAGGATAAAAATAATCATAGAACTGCAGATAAGTGTGTATGTACCACTGAATTATTAGGTAACATTTCTTTGCCTCTGTTCAAAAGGTAAGTGTAATAAATCTGCTGTTTTTAGGCCTCAGAATACAACATCATTTTAGATGAGAGAAATCAGCAAACAGGTCATTAAAAGATGCTTTTAATCTAACAGTACACAGGAAAATTAAATTGGTGATTATTTAACATGATGATCCGGATACAACTTTCATCTCGGGAATTCCTTAAACTGCTGACTCTGAAAAGCTGAGAGCAGATACCAGAGTAAGGATCCTTCACTACATGTGCTACATCTTAAACATTTCCCTAAGTATCTGCTCGAGACAGAACGCTGGGCTTAAACAGATCTTGGATTTAAGAACTATCAGTGACCGTTCCGGTTTACACCTCACTGTAATGTTAGTATTGCTGCACACTGATTTGGGCATTTTAAAAGAGAAAGTGATTGCTGACCAGCAGATGAACTGGAATATCAAAAATATTCCAATAGCATTTGCTATTTCCAAATAGCAAAATTTTTGTGTGCCATTCCTTTTAGGAACATTTACAAATAAGAGAAAGTGCAGTACTTTCTGCCAGTAAGATTCATCCTACCTAATAATAATGTATCTACATTATCGTAAATGTTCACATCCAAAACAGGCATCCAGATTGCATTTATAATCTCTGGAGAAAAATAGGCCCAATTACTTTCAAGGCCCAATTCATCTATTCGTTTGTCTGGTTTTAGATGTCTATTGCCAGATGAGACTGACCTTTTCAGTATTTCATTCCTCTACGTTGACTATAAAGAGTATTGACACAACAAATGTTGCTGTTCACATTATAGACATTAAATTTAGACAGACAAGTCCTACCCTTACTTCCTGTATAACTGACTTCACAAATGATCCTACTTTTCCAGCAAGAGATTCTGGAACTGTAACTCCTCCGGCTCTGCTCTGTCTCTCACTTCAAGTCTACACAATTACATTAATTATGTGTTATACCTCTCTACTATTATTTTATCATCCAGTGATGATATTGATGATAACAAAGGGAGGTGGAAAATACAAGCATAGATTGGGAAAGAAATGATAAGGCAAACGTGTTCAGGTGGCATGCTTGCAACATTCCTGTTACATCTATAACTAGAAATTTGATATGTGAGGTATTATTCAATGGTCTTGCTTTAAAAGTTAACAGGCTATGCCTTTTAAAAGCCAATAAATCCTACTGATTGAGAATAATCAGATTTAGGCCAAAGCCAAAAGATAGTCCAGGTGACCAGAATGTGATGCACAATCATAATAAAACACAGAATTTCTACTTCTGGGTAGATCAAGATTTGACCAGAACTCGGAAATTTGTGCCCTCACAGTCTAAACAAGGTAGTAGCTTTAGTCCAGCTGCAGTGGATTTCATCACAATTCACAAAAACTACTCCTCCTTAAAAACTTGTAGCCTAAGTATAACTACTTCTTTCCTTCTGTGTGCTCTTTTTGGCAGATTACAAGCAGTAGTCATGGGTTACTGCAAGCTTCTCTTTTGTTGGCTACCTGGCAGTTCACTGGGGAAGACCATATGAGGAAGCTGCCCGTGCTTCATCTCATTGTATCTGTTAGTGCCAGCACTGCCAGCATAGCATCTAACACAAGCTTGAAACTCTCTTAAACATTTTGTAGGTGCCTGAATATCAGTGTTATTCATGCATGAAGGAAAGCTCAGCAGGTACTGTACCCAGGCAAGCTGCTGCTCCCACCATAGCATAAAGTCCCGGTGTGACGCAGTCTGCTCCAGGTCTGCACCAGTTCCTGAAGATGATCCAATCATGATGGTGATACGCCAGCTGCTCCACTCCGATCCCAACCATCCTGCCAGCCATGGCTCCAACAGCCATGCTGGGAATGAAAAGGCCTGAAGGGATCTTAAATAAAATACAGACATGTGATAGCCTTAGCGAAAAAGACCAGTAGTGAAATTATTGATGAAGCAATTAATTAATTATTAATTAATTAAACCTTATGGTAGTGACAGAATGCAGCTTTTTTGCCAAATGCTAGTGCAGAAGGGCACAGCAGTTTTTTTAGCCCGCAGTGATGATTCCCATGGTCTGAGATAGGCTTCTGCAGAGAGTGAGGTTGTGTGTCTATACATGTCTATTAATAGCCTACATAATTTTAATACATTTAAAAAATTCATTTTGAATCGTAGCCTCTGTATTGTACGAAATTTGATAGATAAATGGTGTTCTGAATCACAGCCTGTATTTAAAGCCAAGATGCTCCTGATTTTGTCCTCTTCAGGAGCTGCCTGTGTTTGTCATGGGCTTGAGAATAAGCTCAACTGTATCACATGCAGTACTTCATGATCTTATTACTACATTTTCAGGCTAAATCAGAGCAGATTTTAAATTAAAAAGTCAAACAGGATAAACACTTAGAGAAAGGAGGCCAACAGCTCAGAGACAGCTATTTTTTCGTCTTAGCTTGCTATATATTTTCCAGGAAGCTCTATGAATCATTACCTTGTTGTCTGCTACACAGACAAGTCATGAGCCATTAATAGTACTGAAATGAAAGAACAGGCTGTTTTTGCCTTGTCTAAGTGAATTTTCTCTTAGATGTCAAGCGCAACTGTCGAGCTGGAGAGAATTTTCTTGATGGAGAAGACAATTCAGAACCACTGCAACGGCCTTGCATGCGTGAAGTTTTTGTTGTTTTCAGGGGGAAAGGATTGTTATATCTTTTTGAAAATACACCTTGAGCTACCTAGAGAACTAAACTACCAACCTCAGCATGGCCCACAGGCATTAGTGCTAATAAGAACACGAGCAATCTCCCTCACAATATAATGGTGCTGATACAGTCAGGTTGGGCCTTCTAGATTTGGTGGGTAAAATTATTTTGCCTATTCTTTTCAAGAACAGTTGAAACTCTCAGTTCTTCTGAGAAATTTTAAACGTATATGGCCACATATTAATTAAGCAGATTCAGAAGTTTTATCTAATAAACAAGCATAAAAATGACTGGCTGACAACCCAAGCATGGGTCACACTCTGCAGTGAAGGCCATCTCATTTCAAATCCTCTTCCAGGAATATTAACATCTTAGTTAACTCTTAAGGTCCTATTCATTCTCCCTGATCAGGAAATCAACACGACTCTGTCACTGTTCCTCACTTTCTACGATTCAAGTAGCTCTTCATCAGAGATGTCCCAAATTGGGGGAGGCAAAGCAAAGCTCCCACACCTTCATACTATTTTCCCAGTAACAGGCCTTCTAGAGGATGGATAGTCAGTTCAAGATCAGTTTTTAAGAAAAAATATACGATGCTTTAGCTTTGAGTGTGGCATTATGTATAGTATATAATTCAGAAAAAAATCACATCATCTGCTGCAATCAGATCCACAACTAAATGCTCAGATAATGGGAGCTGTAGATAAACAGATATGTGCTTTAAATGGGCTCCAGCAATCAGACATAACAAACGTGCCACAAACAGCTTTCTATATATTGAAAGCTTGGATAAATGGTTTTTGGACCTTTCAACACCTATTTATGCAGAGGAAGAAGAGTGGGAAGAGAAAGCTGCAAATCCAGAATAATCAAAACATACATCCATCATTCCTCCCACTCATTCCCTCTTTCTTCCAAGCTATAGTGCTTTAAAACATGATAAACTGAACATTTCAGCTAAACTTTTTATAATTTCTGATGTCTATTTTTATATCTTTTTAAGGTTTTAAACGTGTGTATCAGTAAATTCAAAGCCATTACTTCCCAGAGTGTAGCATAGCTACCCTGAGGCACATTAAGACATTAATCCAACAAGACAAAAAACAATGTAAATACTCCAGATATCAGAGAGAGCTGACAGACAGTTGCAGTGGGAAACACGTTGAATTTGCTTGTTGACGATCGTGCATTTAAATTCCCAAACAGATATTCTTTTCACTTAATAAAACCGAAGATAACTGGAAGGTGCAAAAAGAGGGCTCATCCCTCTGCTGTGATTTGGGAATGCAGAGCAAGGTGATGACAGGCAGGTGAATTACCAGGTGTCACAGCGAACACACATGTGGCTGGGTTTAGGTCAGAGGCAGACACTGTCAGATAGACCATAGCTGCAGATAGCAACTTATTTGTGCCACGTGCTAGTGACAACTTCAGCACTACGTACTAAGTGCTGCAGTGAACTCTACGCCAATGCCTGATTTACCTTCATGCCAAAAGTAAATATCGTGATGACAATTTTAAACACCAAAGCCAAGGCGAGCTGCCACATTGCCGTGTAGACTCCAGGGCCAGCAGGTCTGTCAGGAATGTCATCCACAGGCCGGGTCATGTTTGGGTCGTTGATGTAGTCACAGAGCTGCGAGGACTCCAGGGCACCGCAGTCATTGAAGAGCTCTGAGATCAACTCACTGGTGCTCCTCCGTGTGTATGGGTTAGGGTATGCAATAATGGCGGTGACAGCAGTTATCACAATAACCTCGAGGACTGGGTATTTCCCAAGCCTGGTGGTTTTTCGCCTCCTGCACCAGGCAATGTTGCACCGGATAAACAGAGTCCCCCAGAGACCACCAAAGACACCAAGCAGAATGAAAGGGAAAAGCTCCGCCATGTACCAGGGGGTATGGTACTCCACGTAGAAAAGGACCAGTCTACTGTTTCCAAAAGGATTGATGGATCTCAGTGTGAAGGCAGCCACAAGAGCAGCAAAAAAGGACCTCCAGAGGGTTTTCAGAGGAAAGTAATAACTGACCTAAAACCAAGCAGAAACAGTAAACGTTTCACTGAGTGGGACAGAGGGTGTTGCCTTCAATTATTCACTCGAGCGTTCTGCAAGGTAGGCCATTGTATGTGTGTATGTGTGTGTGTTTCACCTGTGATTTTATGCATGACTTCACTAGGAATATCTGGGATACCAGCTGTGGCCACAGCCAGAATTTATTCACAAATGTATTAGAAAAGGCATTTTCAAATTTCAGATGGGGAGCTGCAACCGATTAAAAATTGATGACTCTAAAATCAGTGTTGCTGGACAGAGAACATAAGATGGGTGCTGAAAAGCTTGGACCACGTGGTAGCCATGTGGTAGCAAGTTGAAAGCTGTAGAAAACTCAGCACTATTTCCAGATAGAATGATTTCATTTCTTTCCAAGAGACCAGAGCTCTTTTTTTTACCCAACTTACGCTAAAATACCTGTGCTAGAAAATAAAGATCACTTTTGCTTTAGAAGAAAGTAAGTACAAAACTATTTGAAAAATAAAGAAGAATCTTAGAAAAAGGCATCAAATGAAAATATTTGTATTGAAACAAGTGAACTGCCAGGTCTTACCTCTTCCAAACTAAAAAGTACACCTCCAATCGGAGCCCCGAAGGCAACAGAAACTCCTGCGGCTGCAGCAGCTGAAAGTACCTACAAAGCAAGTATTTACATACAAGGCATGAATTCTTTGAAAATCTGCATATCTGCAAAGAGAAATAGAAGGTGATCTGAGCCAACCTCACCTCTCTTCTCTTTCCTTCATTCTTGCTGTACTTTGAGAAAAGGCTGCTGAAGAAGTTTCCACAGCAACAGGCCACATGAACTAACGGCCCTTCTTTCCCAAGGCTGAGGCCTGAAGATACCACCAGAACCAAGGTGACTGTTTTGATTAAAAGTGTCCACTTTCCCAGGTAGCCCCTAATAATGAACCCACTCAAGATGGTTTTTATCTGGAAAGCAGGAAGAACATGTTGAATAGCTAAAAAAAACCTTTTCTACTCTGAACTTGCAAATGGAGTTAAAAGCTATCTCAGACTGATTGAAAAGAGACAGTGATAGAGAGAGTAAAACCTTAGGTAGGGCAATTTTCCCACAGTGATATCTGAGCAGGGGTTTAGCAGACCACACTTTTACAGTTATTATGGGTGGTCCCCTTGCATCAGTAAGGAGTCTCACAGAGATCAATGGAAATATGAAACGCCTACATATCTTCCTGGTTTACTGGATCAGAGTTAAACTAGGCTGAACAAAGCTAGACAAAGCCGAAAAAAGCTAATAAGCAACCACAGACTTCTCCTCGTTAAAACAAGGAAAACATTCTAAATATTTGGAATGGCTGTGCTATAAAAACTTGTAAGTATTATGAAATAGGAAGGTCCAAGAGATCTTGTTTTTACACATTTCCTCTTAATTTTGCATGTGAGTGTCTATAAACAATGCATGAGCATTAAACGCAGGCTGCAGGAGGGATTTAGATTTGGAACCAGGCCTTTGAAGCATACTGGAATTGAAGGCTATCCTCACATGCAATATGCCACCTGAAAGTAATGGGTTTTTGGGGGGCGAGGGGGTTCATGCCCACTTCTAGCAGCAAAAGCTTGAACTAGGACTTGGAGCTGTATTGTCAGAGATAGCCAAGCTTCTGCTTTTTTGGCTATGGTAAAAAGGGAATTGACTGAGAGTGTTTAAGTAATATTTTAATGGTTTTATCTTAACAGCCAAAACTACTAAAAACATTTCTTGCAAATTCATGTAAGTATCAAGTAAAACTGATACTAAACAGCATAAAAACCTGAAACTTGTTTTCTAAAAACTAGATTTACAGTTAACTATAAAAACTTTAAAAAGCTGCTGCCTTCATTAGAAGGTTCCTCGTTTTAACAGCTTAAATATGCGCTGAGGCTCAATATATAAAACATTAAAAATCAGCTAGAGATTTTGACTGCCATAATGCTGCCATGCCAGCAGGGTGACATTGTGTTCAAGAACACCATATTCAGGAGAAGGACAGCCAGGCACTTTTCAGGCAGGTGAAATGACTGGCATCTCACATCTTCAGTTGCTTAGGTAATCTTAGCTTTATAGCCCTCCCCCTCTGTTTCTTGCTTTTGTTTCTGTTTTTTTTTTTTAAATCTTAGCCTAAAAATATGTCTATCCTTTATAATTAGGTCAAGTAATTTAATCCAAGAAAAATTCTGCGTAACCTTCTAATGAGTAGGTACCTCAGCCACATAAGGCTGGAATTCATAAAGAGATGCCCGGAAACCTTTGATTTTTAAAATTCAAACTTCAGCAATGAAGAAGTGGGTACAGGAACTGTCACACTGGCATTTGAACATATTCTGTTAGAAAGAATTTAAATGGGTAACATGAAGACAGGTTAGACAAAGTAATGAAGATAGATGAGTCAGAAAGACAGTCTTCAGACTACTTGTTCCTATGCTATTTTGTAGTACAGTTCTGGAATGGGAAAAGGCCACAACAAATCTTTTATTTGTTTTATTTGGGTTTTGGATATCCATCCATGAAGAGAAACTCACCTCTGGGATTCCAGAGCCACAGGCATAGGGAGCAAACACTCTGACCAGAGAGACTGCCAGGAAAGCAAAGCACAGAGCCCACATAATGTACAGAAAATAGTTTAGAATGTAAGCACTTGCGCCCTAGAAAAACAACAGGAACAAACGCCGTTAGATAAATGCAGTTTGGTGAGTCTCGTGCTTCTGCTAGGGATCATGATGGCATGGAGCCAAACCTTTTCATTTACATGCTAGCTGCTGCTTTTTGCTCAGGAAGAACAAACTGCTTTATACACTCTAACAATTTTCCTATCCATGTAATATATACATAACCCAATTGATGCAGTCTGTTTGCAAGGGATCCAAACACCTTACACAGAACATCCTTCAAACACTAAAAGATTAAGCCAGCCATGTACAGTTCTGAAACACCAAACAAACCTGACATAAGGGTAAATGTAATTGGCAATAAAAAAGCACCCAATGAAGGTGCCTTGGCTGGCTGTGTTTAGTAGTTGCCTAATCCCTTGCCTAATGATAATCACCAAGAAGTGACAAGGGATGAGACCCTGCAATCCCTTTTTCTGAGGGCTGGCGTTCAAAGGTGAGCTCTCCATGCCAGTGGTGAGCCTTTCAAACTATATCCCTGTATATATTAGTCACCAGCTCAGTTCACAGAGTGGAAAAGTAAAAGTATAAATACATCTTTCCTTCTAAATGACACTATCTATGATAGATTTGAAAATCATTTGAAAACACGATAGTTTGACAGATCCCACTCAAACACATCTCCATCATTTTTGCCCTGATATTATAAAAGCATTCCAGTCTATGATAAAACCTATCTTCAAGCTAAATAGCTTTACTTTACTGACAGAATGGAAATGATAATCATCATTAGCCGCGCTCGACTGTGCAGTGCTATAGTGAAAGTGTAGTTCATAGTGACCTTCAAGTTCTCTGCTTATCTCAATAGTGAAGTCAAAATATTGTTAAAGTCTGCATTAAAATACCCTCCTTCTTCACAGGGATAATTTTTGAGATGAATTTCAACAAAATGTGTCTTATGCCAAAAACACCATCTAGATAGACAAAAAAGAACACAGCCAGAGGCATCAAATTGGTGCAAGAAGTTTAAGCCATCAATAATCTCCTCCAGCAACATGACACTACAGAATAAAAAAAGATGAACCTCAGTGCATGAACTAGTATGAATCCTTCACCTCTAAGTGAACTCTTCCTACAGGATGCAAGCCCAGCTGCTGAAGAACATCAGGGCCCTTGTCTTTGTTCTGCAGGACAGAAGCCTGGATATCAACTTTAAAATAAAATAAGTAGCAAAACTGGTATTAATCACTTGTATCATGTATTCAGTTAACAGATCTGGCCAGACTCAGTTCCCAGTCAGAGAAAACCTAGAGCTGAAAAGTCTCCCTGTTCACAGTCCTGCAAAATTCGATCTTTAGCAGCACGGATGCTTGCTAGCATTATATTTCAAGTCTCTATCCAAAGGAAAAGATGATAGAGAACGATTGCCCTTGTCCTGATGGATGTATGTGCAAGAGGGGCAATTCCTCAGGTTCCTGCTGTGCTTGCTGATGTTAGTAGCCAGCTTCGCTGATAACAGCAAATGAGCAATACATCATCCCAAATGCTCTGAGACTAAGCATGGATTCCACACTTACAATGATCAACATCCATCTGTAGTAATCATGGATCTTTGTTGCTACAGCTGAAGACTGTCTATCTCATTTCCTTGTGAATGTCTTCTCCTAGTGTTTTCAATTACAAACAGCTATGGCAATATTCACTCTTCCTCTAGAGAAAACTCTGGATACGGTGCCCCAGGGCAAAATTTTCTCATCAGTGTAAACCTGGATTAGCTCCAAAGACGACCAATGCCATTACAACAATTTGGTCCTAATCTGTTGAGCCAAAGCTGCAGTTTTGATTCCAAATTCACTTGAGTCAAATTAACATTGTTTCTTTTAACTTTCTCCTCTTCACATCTCAGAAGTCATATGAACACTGTGTCAGCTCGTTACCGCAGTCACACATACACCTACTGCACTGTGGCAGGACCCCACAAGAGTCTCTGTGGCCAGTTCAGTCTTATCCCTTGAGACAACTCTAACTGTTACATTTTCTTACTAACTCTAACTGTTACATCTGTTATTCTGCAGGTCCAATTCAGCAATTTTAATAATTAATAATAATAAAGACTTTGGGAAGGGAAGCAGTAGTAACTCAGTATAGTTACTGAGTTAAATGGCTGATTCCTCATTCATTGCATGCCATTGCTAAGGCCCTGAATCAGTAAAGGTCTTCAGTATGTACACTGGAATCAGAGACTGATAAAATTCATAAGCAGAGGTGACCCTGCTAAGACCTTTCCTACTAGTAGCTCAAAGGACTGACCCTGACAACAATAGTGATGAAGCAAGCAACTGAGGAAAACTTAGGATTTTAGTTTGCAAGAACTAGCAATATTTCAAATCTCGTTTCAGTGTAATGCAGAATGAATGGAATACAACTGAAAACAACCCTCACAAACACAGCACACTGAAATAAAATACATCCCTCAGGACGCTATCCATCACACACAGATACTCCTGTTCCACAAAGCCTGAGAGCTCTGCTCTGACTCCACCAGGGATCTAACAGCTTGCAGACTCCCTCCTGTGGACTCTACAGCAATGTATCTCCTCAAAGCTCTCAAGACTGACAGATTCAAGGCTGTTAAAAGTGGAAAGTAGGTTCCAGGTATAGAAGGGCTTCTATGCCTTGCATTTCTCAGATTTGTGGTAGGAAATCTAGAAGCACTAGCATGGGAATCCAGCCCATTGCTGGATCCAGTGTCATGAGCCATGAAGGACACACAGTCCCCTCTCTGCTTTTATAGACATGAGGCACTAGAAATGGGGTTCTCCGCTCTGGTCCAATCAAGGTTAGCACCAAGTTGGATCCACAGAATAGGGAAGTTCTGGGTCACCAGATACTGGCTAGAGAATCTGCTTATGATGTAACTGAAGTGGGTGGCATCCGAAGTGCTTTTATGCACCCACTGCAGTCCAGTGAATCTGCACCTTTGAAACTCTCTTACATCAGAAAGTTCTTCACCTGCTCTTTGGAAGCGATTCAGGACCAGAGGGATAAACAATATTACTGGCCTATAAAACAGTGATTAGAAAAGAAAACAGCCCGGTATGTTTCTGATGTGCTATCATGTTTCATGTTTTCCACAGTAATTTATATCAAGACATAGCTTTGAGCTCATTTTATAGGAGGACTAGAATGAAATACTTTATAAGAGATGCCGTAGGAAATGTCACAATTCTCAGTGAGAACATATGCATAGGGCTTATCACAGTCATAAATGGCCAAAATCACATGGAAGAACTGGTCTAAATCTTAGTCCTCAAAATGTCAACTTTAGTTGGCTATGATAGGAGTCACAGTCATGCGTAAAAAGAAGAGAAGTCTGACCAGGGTACCTTTAGGGAAATTGCTCCAAGAACTTTTGGTCTAAAATGTGCTTTAAATTAGTCCTTCTGTGCACTGCTTTTTTATAGGTCTGCTACTCAAATGTCTAGTGCAAAGTGAAGCAACTTGCAAAGAAAATGAAAAAATGATCTTGAAACTGAACTAAATAGAACATATTTTAATCACTCCTAGAGGATTCTCTACAGGTACAGAAATCATGCAAAGCTTGCCCATATTGTACACCTTTTGCTATAGAGCACAATTTTTACTTTCTATATTCACATTTTTGGTGGGGTATTAGTCTTTGACTGTGATTTCCATGTAACAGTAAGAGACAGCCTTAATACTAATATTACGGTATCCATTGGGTCATGGCAGCCAGAAACATACAGATTTTAGAGGCTCACTTTTTTTGCGCAACTAAAACTAATCCAAGATGAACTTTTTTCCCTGCCCCCCCCCCACACACACACACACTGTGACAATATACTGCGGGGTCAGAATCCCAGTTTGAATACAGAGTGAGCAAAGTTTCATGGTGTCCACCTAGATGCTACTTTTTTTGCAGTCCACAGCATACAATAGTAATAACTTTTGAGTTCACGTAGCAGGTGAAAGCAATATATATTCTCAAGGACATGCTCCATTTGTATAGTCCAGCACTTCAGAGTAACAGCATGTCAAACACATGCAGGGGATTTCCAAATCCCATAACGATTGTAACATTCTCCCTTTTTCTTCCTTCCCATACTTTCTGTTCTCTTAAATTACAACATCGCCCCCAGTCCTGCAACTTTGCCCTGCAACCAGGGCAATATTTCTTCAGTGTTATGAAGAGACAACCACGTATTTACGAAGACCAACACAAACCTAGTGAACCTCTGGCAAAGGGAAGTTTGACACTATGAACTAGCAACTGCACAGAAGAGATTTCTTCCTGCAAATAAATGGTGAGAATATTTAGGAATAGCGAACACTCCACTACTTTCACTACTCTTAATTAGAACTATGGAAAATTGGGTCATATATATTCACAGACACTCTCACCTAGTGCTACTTGCAGTGTAAACCTAAAGCAGCACTAAACTGAACACAAACAACAAACCCTTGTACAGCAACAAAGGTGCCCGCAACAGACTTTCGGCAGGATCACCTCCACACTGGGGAAGACCTGAGGCAATCTCTCCGTCTAATCGAGTCGCCCATTTTTGAATTCTGATATATCACCTGGTTAGAGATGCTTTTTCCCATTAAAATATACCTTTTCTTCCCCAACTATGGGCAAAACTGCACTACTAGATATTAAAAAAAAGAAGTCTCATTACACATTTAAGTTCTCTTCAACGGCACATCCCTACCATCCCGATCGCATATTCAATTTTGCCTTGTCTAAGTCACCTATAGAAATGGAAGGTTTTTTTCAAAACAATAGTTTTGGCCAAAAAATTGAGTTTTGAAGTGTTCAAAACTGTTCAATATATTGAATAACTTAGGTTATTCAGATTGTCATATCTTTAATAAGAGAATCATCAGCTAAAAAATACAGAAAAGCTTTATTTGATGTCTTCAAAAAAAACTTTCACGTTTTGCTTTGAAGCAGCATTCTTTGTATTAAAAATTACTACAATTGAAAAAAAGGGGATAGAAACAAGTTTTTAAAATATGTTTCATATCAGTCCAGATCAGTTCTTTTCCCCCCCCTTCTCTCCCTCTGCAAATTTTTTAATTTGGCCCTCTCCCAGTGAGTCCATTATTTCCTCCGTTTTTGGTGCTAGCCAAATACTTTGCTATCTGATAAAGAAACTGATTTCAAGGGCATACCAAGCAGTTCATAAGCAGTTCCCACTAGTACTCACAGCACATGAATACAAGAAGCCCATCTGCAACCCTGAAAATTTCCTCTTAAATGTATTTGTCAGGGGCAATCTTTTTCTCCTAGAAGATTATGTTTAAAAGAAAAGTTTGGATAGGAGCTAAAGTCCTCCACTGGTTATGTTATAATTATTATGAAACATGCCTTTGTTTTAAAACTGGTAAAAAAGAGAAAGATCTCACGTGGTTTTCCAATTTCCATTGCGCATGACACTGAAACAATGAGACCTATCCCAAGGTAAGCAGATATTGCTTGTGGAAATGTTACTTTTTTTTTTTTTTTAACAGCACTCTCAGTTCATTGCTTTCTCTTTCAGAGGAGCTCTCTGGAGGGAATATCAGAAGGTATGAAAAAAAAAGCATTCCCTAGTCTGCTGACACCCCAGCCTAATCACGTCTCCCATACCTCAGACTGGTTTACAAGGAGTTCAGACCATTTCTGCCACTGGGGACATTTGTCCCTGTCATCAAATGTAGTTTCATTAGACGTCCAGCAGCACTGCTCGTGGCTGTACCAGAACGCAGATAAGCAGACACCCTCCTTCAGGTCTGTCATCCAATCCACAGCTAAATCTATCACTCCAGCCAACGTGCCTGGAAAAAGGAATGCATAAAAAGAAACCATGACATAAAAAATATCAGGAATTACCAAATCACAGGGAAAATACATCTAATGACAATAAAAGTAAAAATACACAATCTGGCAACTAGCTGCAAAGGCATTATTAATGTAGGGCCTGATCCTGCAGTCGGTTCCAGGCAGATGCACCGTTTGCCAGAGGTCAGTGGGACTTTACTTAGGGTCTCTATACACCATACTAGGCTGCAGGGCTGAAGCCACACAGTATGCTTAAGAGGTGGGGAAGGAGAAAACACGTGCTTTCCTACAGTTATCCTGGCCCCTGCACATTGACCTTGAAAAAGAATGATTCTAGAAACAAGAGTGAGGCCAAATTCTGACTTACAAACTTAAAAGAACTAGACCAATGTTATATTCATTAGCAATCCAAGCGTGCAGAATAAAACTATTCTTCGAATTCTCTCTTTGTAAGACTTGCAGTTTTTCCTAGGAATTACACAGAGCAACAGTGACATCCAGCGGCTAACTGACACAAAAGTGTAAAATGCATATTGCGAGTCCCCAGTGAAAATCTTGCTTCTCTACTATATCAGCTAATCGACAAAAAAAAAAAAAAGAAAAGAAAAGAAGAAAAAAGAAAAACACCTCCCACAGCACCAGTACTGTAAAACAGATGTGTTCCCACAGTTACTAATGCAATACCAGCATGAATGCAGAGGATGGAAGAAGCCAGAACACAGAACTGACATACTTGCTTTTGGGTATCTATGTGCTTACTTACTGGAAAGCATTACACCACAAAGTGATAAAAAAAAACTTTTAATATTTTAAAAAACTCTCTCACATAAAATAGAAAGTCTGAAATTGTTTCATAGGTAGAAGTCAGCAACATTGGTATGGTTAATCATTTATTCAACAAGCAATACAATTTCAGGAAACCATTCACAGATTTGAGCAGAATTCAGCAGTTCATTTCCTCATGAGAAAAATGCTGAAAATATTTTGGAAAAGGCAAAATTGTTTTTTTATGTTTCCAAAACTTTTAGTATTGTGGCTCCTGCCACAAATCCAATGAAGGAAAGGGAAGTGGGGGAGGTTGCTTCCCTTACTGCTAACTGCTAGAGCACACAGGTGGAATCAAGAACTGGTTTGTTTGACCTGGAACAATAGTTTTGTGCTTTTCACTTCCATGAAAGAGGAAAATAAATATTTCAGTTAATTCAGGCATGTGTGACCTGCTTTCTATTGCACCACAGAACCAAAAAAACAAAAAACAAAAAACAAGCGTTCACAGCCTTCTACAAAGCTACATCTTATCGTGCCTTTAAGAAGGATGCCTGTCACCACACCATGACTAGCAATATGACTGTGGTAGCAATGACTAATTTAGTGTCTGTATAGGACTGTATAGGAACAGTCTGAAGAACTATACAGATATACCAGATAAGAGCACAAAACCTACAGCAGAGAGCTCTCCTACCTGCACCAAGCATCTCTTCTCATAAAGACCTTGGCTTTCTCTTGCTTATCCTTTCCAGTTTCACAATTTTCTATGGCAACAATGAACTATATCCTTAGAGGATGGTAAATCACTGTTGCTAGTAATGTCATCGTGTGTAGTTTAGTGAATTTTGTAATGAACTCTAAATCTCCTTCTCCTTAGATTTTTCTGAAAGTTTCAGGAAATAGCACAAAGAAGCCTCAACCCTTGGACATGAGCGCAAAATGCTGTGCCTCTTGCATTTGTTGATGGACCTTTATCATTCTCTGTAGTCACTCCAGTCTTCAAAACTCACATCACACCTAATCAGGCTATTCAGTATTAATGTTACTTAGCAGAGGATGCAAAGGAAGACAGGCTACTGAGTGTTTTTTTCCTGATAAAGTGAACAGTCATAAAGTGAGTAACAGATCAAGGGACAAAATTCAGTTTTCTAATGTAACAGGTTCACATATACCACAGTGCCTGTAAGAAAATGTATTTAAGTATGCTACTGATCTAATCCTTTTTGCCAAATGCTTTGGGGATCTACGTAAAGAAGAAGATGCTACATGCATTATTATACATGCTTTACAGAAAAGAAAATCCTGAGAGGAGAAGGCCAGCACTTACAGAGTAATGGTGCAGTAGCTATTGCTTCATAAGCCAGGAGATCAAGACTAAAATTTTTATAAGTTCTGAACATTAACAACTTTAAGTCAAATTGATGGAAGTTCTAGACTGCTCAGCATCTCAGAAAGTCAAGCCTTTAATTTTTTTTTGTGCTAACCATGGCTGTCTAGTCATGTCACTGCACCTCTGCAACATAGCAGAAGTTTATCTCCATGCTTCTCCTTCAGAGCAGCTGAACTTGCTCCCTCCCTGCCCAGAATAAAAAATAATAAAGCACTGAAGTTCATTTTTGGATATTAGCCTTTTCCCTCTCTCTTTTTTTCTTTGGTTGATGATTGCCAAACTTTTATCCTTTAAAACCCTCTAACAAGAATGCTAAAAATTTGCTTTGAAAACATGTTTTTTCATAAGCACCTGTGCCAGAAAACTACATCATTCAAGTGGCATGGGAATGAAATACAAGGGGGATTTTTGCATGTCCAGTTTCAGTACACTATATTAACATTGGAATGATAGTACTGTTTGTCACATAGCTTTAGAAAACATTGACCTTTTCACTGTCTTCTATAAGCAGCATATATCTTTAGTTGGTTAGTGAGGTTAGATATTTAGGTTAGGGGATGATCGTGGCATTGCAAGCAGGAGGATGGGCAAAGTAAAACACATAATTCCTTATAATCCAGTTGCCTAAGCACTAGGCTTACTGGCACTCACGCACCAGATTTTTAGGACCATTTCCCCATACAGTGCTCAACATTTCTCCAGAAAGTGTGAAAACTATCTGACTAACACAGTCACCCGATAGTACTCAGTACCCTTTTCCTCTGGAACATCTCTTGAGCAGTTTGCCCCTAATCTCTGCCCCAAGCAGCATTCTTGGATGCTACTGCTTCTTCCTCCCCTCCAAAATGAGCAGTATATAGCTCCCAAGGCCTCATTTCAAGAAGCTTCTTGGTGCCTTTCCAACCATGTGATAGTATCATATGCCATCTACATAGCATCTGAGGGTTCAAGGCCAAGTAGGTACATGACTGTAAAAGAGCCAGCTCAGTTGTTGGAGCTAGCTGGGCTGGACTGCTGTGGTGATGAGGTGCTCTGCTAATTTACTTGTGCACGCTCCAGTTTCTCTGCATAGGTTTATATGAAACTTTGGTCTGATCCAAAATAGTTGCTGTTATGTTCTCAAAATACTCAGGTGTTACTCAAAACATACAGCTCTAACTTCACAGGTGTCCCAGCTGTGAGCTGGAGGCCAGACCAGACACCCTCCAGAGGTCCATTTCCTAAGTAGGCTTTTCTGGGGCTCGAACGAAGGATGCCGTTCCAATGACATTTTAAAAACACCACGATTGATGGCTACTGACAAACGGCATGGTCCCATCCCTCCCCCTCTCCCAGAGCCTTCCCTTCAGCAATGTTTTTCTAGCGCTAGCACTTGTACAGACCTGTGGTGAACCACCCCAATGACCCCACTGATCCAGTTGAAAACCAACCTGGCCAAAACCCATTTTTTTCACCAGATCATTTCCCAGAACCAACCCCTGTTCAGCCATATTCGCACAAGGCAATGGGGCCTCATGGCCGAGGCACTGACCGAGGTTACTCCTTTTGGTCAAGTCAGTTTAGCGTGACTGAGGAAGTACATGCTTCTACAGTGCTGCAAAACCTGAAAGATAGAGTTGACTAAACTGGTGTGGTGAAGGCTTCTAGATCACTTTAAACTCCTGGACCTGAGTAGCCTTTCCAAAAGCCTTTGGGGATCTGTAGATGCCCTACCTGCTGCATATCTTTCTTCCCCTGCTCTTCTGCCTCCACCTCCAGCAAGCGGACAGCAGCAGCTGCATGCTTTCGATGCCCTGGATACTACTGCTGCTGCTTTCTTCTCCTCTCCCAGACCTTGCAAACCCGTTTCCTCACCTTCAGCAGTGCATGCACTCGGAGGTAATGAATCTAAGATCAAGCTCCTAAGAACTTGCTCTGTTGCTATGCAAATGAGTCGTGATGCTCCCAAGCACAGTGTTACCTCGCCCACTGCAGCAGGTGGCTTCTACTCATATAGCAGGAGAAGAGGGGCTGTGGAGGGGCAAAGCTGCTGCGGAGTTGGAGGTCTACACGGCCCTGTCTAATCGTACAAGTGTCCTCCTGTCAGCCCATCTCCTCTAAGCAGGCAATATTCCAAGCAGAGAGGGAAATGGTATGACGTGCCTCTTGACTGCATTACAAATCTCATCTCCCCCCTTATCCACACCTGGTCTAGAAATCTACCTACATCCACTCATCAATAATCTCCAGTTCCAATGGGTGCTTACCCCTCACTGAGGCTGAGATGATGAATCTCCATCTTTCTCCTGCCCCAGAAATGCTGGAGGCATAGATCACAGGTGTCATTTCCAATAGGGGGAAGCAAAATCCGACATGGCGCAGCTCAGATCATGAGTGTGCAGGTGATTTTTGTTCTCTGATTTACAGGTCCTTGCCCCAGTTTAAAAGCAGATTATTTTGATTTGACTCTTTGAGGTAAAAGATGCTACTCTGCATCCATATTGTTGAACAAGTTGCAAAAGCTGAAACATCTTAGCTCCTTCAACCTATCTTCCTAAGGGAAAGTACTGTCATTAGAGCTTATCAGAGGTCAACAATTCTGACTTTCAGAATGAGCTTCCATTGCAGACTGGAACCAAAATAAACCCTTTGGGTTATTTTTATTAAATGAGAGTGCATGAGTGTGTATTTATCACTGTCTGTAGCTGAGTGAGGTGGGTATTGACCTGTTTGTGGGAGGTTTGCTGCTGAAGAGCTTGCTCTATTTTGCAAGCAGAATTCTCCATCCCAGATGCTCCAAATAACATCAGCCATGGCATTCAGCTTGGGTTCAACACCTCTGGCTAGCATACAGCCTATCAGGCTCTCTCTTTTCCCATGTCACTTTCCCATAAAATCTTTTGTGGAAACCATAAAATAACATATTTTAACAAATGACAGTATCACAGGACCACAGGATCACAGAATATTTGAGGTTGGAAGACCCTTCTTGAGATTATCTGGTCTAACCTCCCTGCTCAGGCTGGGTCACCTACATCAGGTTGCCGAGGACCATGTCCTTGGATGGCTTTTGAATATCTCCAAGGATGGAAACTCCACAGCCTCTCTGTGCGACCGGTTTCAGTGTTCAGCCACCCTCACAGTTAAGAAGTGTTTTCTTGTGTTCAAGTGGAACTTCCTGTGTTTCAGTTTGTGCCCATTGCCTCTTGTCCTGTCACTGGGCACCACTGAAAATAGTCTGGCTCCATCCTCTCAAGAGACATTCCCATCAGATATTTATACATATTGATCAGGTCCCCCCTGCACCTTCTCTTCTCCAGGGTAAACAGGCCCAATTCTCAGTCTCTCCTCATATGTCAGATGCTCCAGTCACCTTTGTGACCCTGTGAGTCGCAGGACTTACTCCAGTAGCTCCATGTCTCTCTTCTACTGGGGAGCCCAGACCTGAGCACAGCGCTTCAAGTGTAGCCTCACCAGGGCTGAGTAGAGGGGAAGGAGCGCTCCTCTCAACCTGCTGGCAACACTCTGCCATTAGCTAGCCCATAACACCATTGGCCCTCTTTGCCACAAGGGCACTTTGCTGGCTCATGCTCAACTTGGTGTCCAGCAGGACCTCCGCGGCCTTCTCCTCAAAGCGGCTCTACAGCAGGTCAGCCTCCAACCTGTCCTGGCGCATGGGGTTATTCCTTCCAGGTGCAGGACTTGGCTCTTCTCTTTGTTGAAGTACATGTGGTTCCTTTCTGCCCGTTTCTCCAGTCTGTCGAGGTCCTTCTGAAGAAAGGCAGAACCATCTGGTGTGTCAGCCGCTCCTCCTAGTTTTGTATCATATGTGAACTTGCTGAGGCTGTGTTCGAGACCATCATCCAGGTAATTAAATAAGATTTTGCACAGTACCGGCCCTAGTATCGACCCCTGGGGGACACCAGTAGTGGCTGGTCTCCAACTGGCCTTTGTGCTGCTGATCACAACCCTCTGAGCCTGGCCGCTCAGCTAGTTTTCAGTCCACCTCACTGACCACTTATCTAGCCCATACTTCATCAGCTTGTCTATGAGGATGTTATGGGAGACAACGTCAAAAACCTTACTAAACCATCAAACTATAAAATAAATCATAAAATAACATATTTTGTCAAAATATGCCAAAATGTCACTTCAGCAATGATGATTTCCTGAGAACCTGCCTAATAATTCTCAGACTTTTAAATAGCTATAATAAACATATTAACTTGACAGTTGATAAGCTAGAAAGTCACACTGGACCTGGGTGGAAATTGTGTGAAACTTTGCATCATGCTGGTACGAAGAAGCCTGATACAACAGCTCCCTGATATAACTGAAAAAGCAGAAAAACATTAAGAGCAGCTGTTTCAACTTGGTAATAGAAGTGCAGCTTTCCAAGTTGGAAGATGTGCTAAACTGAGTGGGAGACAGGAGCAACTCAGGAAATTAATGAATTTGCCATCTGAGTTTGAGCAGGTTGTTAAATATGTAATGTCTGTCTGGCTTGGGAGTAGATTTGGAACTAAGTATGAAACTGTAATTACCCTTCACGCATGTATAGAGAAGATAACCCAGCGAACCTAGCGCTTTTCAAAGCTTCCCTTTGATCGTACACATCCACCATTGTCTTTCTCCATATCATAATATGCACTTACAGAATTAAATTAACTGAAGACAAGTAAAAAAACCCTAACAAATAAAATTTACTGATGTGACTCCAAGGCTGGGTAGTCAAAACAGTCCATCATGGGTAAAGCACTCAGATGCATATTTCCAAAAGCAACAGAAAAATCCCTTTATTTGTGAATAACATTTTTTCTAGGTCAGCACTCAGCAGGAGACTTTGCAAGTGAGTATTTTCATTAAGTACTATAACTACATGGATGCATAACTATCTTTTAGTCTGAAACATCAGCACACAGACAATGAAGGAAAAACAAGCAGATGGCACTTCAGTAAATATGGGTGAGATGGTTCTGGACACAGCTCTGACACACACATACCTGCCAGTAGTCCTATGAGAAGCATAACAACCCATCCTGACCAGGCATCTAGCAAACTCTTGATGAACTCCCATATGGATTCCTTACTTTTGCTTGTAATCTGAAATAACATATATTTATGTACATATGTGTATAAAAAATGCATATTGCTGATTCAGGCTGACACAATTTCACTGTATCATGTTTACAACAAAAACTATTTCATTTACTGGACAGTATACACAGTCTCTCAGCTCCCTACTCCCCCCAGTTCCAGTCACGTTTAGAGATGATACTGTTCATTCTGATTAAGTGATAGAAAGCTTTTTCATACTGACAGACTCAAGACACACCACATACTATTTTCATAAACACTACTCAAATTATACAACCAGGTAGGAAGTAAGAATTCTGGAAACTTGCTTATTTTTCTGCAGTTAGGATGACTAACTCAGGGGCTATGACGCGTTAAAGCCTATTCTCTTTACCTTTCTGTGCCTGTCAGTGTCACGTGATTTCTCTCGCAGCCAGTCAATGGTGTGGAAATCTTCGTAAGTCCCAACGTCAGGGAAAGGCTCATCCAAAAAGTCCATCAGGTTGCCAGAACCGTTCATGTCTCCTGCATTAACCATATTAGGATCTGTAGGTGGGGGAAGAACAAGCATTTCAATAAATCCATGTAGCTTTGCCAGACACTTCAGAATCAAGTTTTCCAAAATCCCACCATAAACCGCAAAGTTAACCTCAGTCAGCACTCCTAGTAAGGCCCTTTTTGAAACCTGTGCATTGCCACTAGGAGAAGTTCTTGCTAAAGACTACTCTAACAGCTTAGCAAACCCTAGAAAGCACATACAAAAAGCACAGCATCGCAGGGCAGAATTACCAGCTTTCCTGAAAATAGAGTCCTAAAAGCCAGGATGGTTCAAGGGTTCTTCTGCAACAGCACATCCTGATTATATGCCTGAAGAAGCTGCCTGCTAGGAGGTCGTTTAGTAGACAGGCTGACTAGCTCAGAAAACAAATGATAATTCACTTGAATTTACTACTTATCATGGCAAATCAGAATTGCACAGCATTTACATGGCACCGCTGCTCATAATACTACGGTGTCGTCTGGTTTTTCACATGCAGAACTCCCTGCACTGAAGCACAATTCACCCACTGCTCAGAACAATTCTTTAAAAAGGCTAAATTCAAGAACACAATATATCTACTGCATAAAGGGTTTGGAAAGGCAGCATCTTCCTTCAAGTTTTCTTCTCAAGGGCCAGGAGCAGAACTACTGTTGGGGGAACCTGGGTGGTTACCTTCTGCCCCATAGACAAACGTTCCACGTTTGCTTTTAAGAAAGTAGAGAGTCAAACAGTCACCCCATATCCTACTAGAGCACAAGAGGAAATGTAAAAATACTTATCTCCAAGCTGTAACAGCCAGCTACCAGAGAGCATTTGATAGTTAGAAAGGAGATCAGAGTAGGCTGTGAAATAAGATATACTCTAGAGCCATGAGAGTCACTCTAGGAAGCAGGCTGAGTGGATATTTTCAGCCCAGAGCTTCCTAGAAAGATGCTCTCTGGGCTTACAGACTTACAGATATGAAAGAACTAAAATATCCATGTTCGTTGCTCTAAAGCCCAGGAAACTCTACCTAGTTTTTGCAATGATCGTAAGCAAAGCATAAAAAAGTTAACTCAGAATCACTGTACCTCTCTCTCCCACAGAGACCTCAGCAACATCTGGCTAGGTGCAAAAATGACAGAGTCTCCTTCTTTGAAAGATCAGGTCCCAAGGTAGTCACTAATATGACAGGCTCCAGAAAAGGCTGACATCATGCCTGATAAGAGGAGCCTTTAGTAGCATAAGAATAGAGTAAATAAAGCAATTTAGGCACACAGGGTTGGATTCATCTATCCAACTTCAGCCACCCAGAAGTTTGGTGTCTAGACTGTAACAATCATCTAAGGTGCCTCTAGAGACAGAGAAGGATGTGCTGCTCTAAAGAGCAGTTAATCACATCCATCCTAAAATAGGTATCTAGGAAATGGGGTCTTTAGGAGAGTATCCAGGGTCTGTAAACTAAAGCAGCTGACTTAAAAGTAGCTAACTGTAGATGAGGTTAGCATGACCTCAACAATAATACATAAGAAAAAAAATGATGATGGATACAGACTTCAGGAGTTTTAGAGAACCAACTCTGGAGAGTCTTTAACTCCTTGAGAGATGCGAGATAACTTTTACAGGTGATTTGAAAAGGTTAGTACAATACTAAATACTATGACCTGTATCTTTCTTCCGATACAGACAGGGTGATTTCATATGTACATAATTTGGATCTTTGAATCAGTGAGAAAATATCCCAATTCCATGATTAGAATATTCAAAAATGTGGCAGATAAGTTTTTAATCAACTGTCCATGAACCCTAATCTGCTGCTATGCTCAGCCCTCTTTATTTACTTCTTTTTTTTTCCCCCCTTAATTTTCAGCTCTTTTACTTGAATGCTATCCATTTAATTTTTTTCCCTGGTGGTGATTTCAGGGATATAGCAAGTATCAATACTCAACTTTGTAAGTGTCTACTTCTTTGCACTCTGCTGGATAGGACTTTTTGGATTACACAGATAATGTGCTCAGCACAAGCAGCTGAGAAAAGCATTATCTTAAATGCAAACAGCAGGTCACCGTTATAATTTTATAGAAGCACTTTTAAGTGTGGAAATCAAGTAATCTCCAAGCACCATTACATGTTTTTCTGAAAGAGAATCAAGCAAAGGAGTCACAGCCTGGGGAAGGAAACCAAACGTGGAGTAGGTATCTCATACAGTGCTGTTTGAGCACAAATAATCCGCCACAGGACTGAGGCAATTTAAAAAGCAGCAGTTGAAAGGAGTGACAATTGAAAAATAGCAGTACTTAGCAAAACAGATGAGAACACACTCCTACATTTCCTAAGGAAAATGAGAGTGTGAAGGTGGGATGCTGTGGTTGACACTAAGGAGCTGAAGTTACAAGTGGATCTTGACTTCAGTGTCTTGTAAAGCGCAACTGAGAACTGGAACCGGAAGCGGAAACCAGGTGAATGGATTAGACCATGCTATTATTTCATACCACTGTGCTAGGAAGAGTTTGCACTGATATTTTGCTGGCTATTTACTTCAATCAATTATTTCTGCACAGTGAAGAAGTACCTGTACAGAATATGCAGTTCAGACTGCTTGCCCGTATCCAGGCAGCCCCCCCTATAATATAAACAAACTTCTGGGAACTGACATGCTGAAAATCTTGGCTTTTTTCCTTAATGCTACAAGGAAAATACCCCAAATGCTGGTTATATCACATAAAAAAGTATCTTTTTAAGTGTGTTGCCAAGGCTCAACACATGACAGTATTGTGATGGATAATACTAGGCCAGACCACAAGTATGCAGGATAATTACAATCTCAGCCTGAATCTACCCCAAAATACGTGCTACAGAACATGTTCAGGGAGAGAGAAAAGTCCTGGAGACCACAGAGCCATGGAAGACTTAGAAAACAAGCAAATTTTGGACTCCAGGTAGCCTTCCAAAACCTTGGTGTAAAAATTGCAGCTGGACGATTATTAGCCTTAAACTTCACTTCAAATACCATACTCTTAAAAGCAGAGATGTGATATCAGTTTATGTAAATCCCAATTATAGTAAATAAACTCTGGCTATAGCAATTGTGAACTGAATACTACAGAGTTCCCATCTCATGTCCTAAGAGCAAAGCCCCAAACACATTTCTTTATTTCTCTTTATTTTGCATTTTTGTCTCACCTAACTTCGGCTTCGGAAGCAAAGCATCTCCAAAGTTTATTTCACGATGAGCTAACTTAGCCTCTAGAGATGCCTGTTTCTCTGCTGGCCGTACTGAGCCTAACAGAAATAGCTCGGTCATAGACATTTTAGTTTAATGCACATAACTTAAGGGCAAATGAATCTCATTCAAAGATGAATTGTAGCCAGGTTTACTAGAGCAATCCACTCTGACTGATGGTGAAAGTATGAGCATTGCTGATGTGAGTTGTCTTGTCTAACATTAGAAATCTACACTAGACTCTAGACACTGGAATCTAGACTCCTTTCACAGCTAATGAGAGAAACTCCTTCCAGGTGCAATTTAGCTCATGTTTTTAGACATCTACATTAGCATGAGGTGAATTGTTCCCTAACAGAGCCAATTTCCATTCACTGATTACAGCTGTCAGACTGTAAGCATCCGCATCTCATCAAATGAGTCTGACCCTAACCACCCAAAAGAAAATACAGATACATGCAAAAATAGTAAGGAGTGCAATTCTTAACCACTCCTGCCACATGAATAATGACAATGAAAACCTTCTATATTGAAAGGTCTTGAATCTTGTTACGCTGCTGGGTAACTACTTAGCATGTGCATTTTGTCCCGTTGCCATTCTGCATCTTAGACGTCCTTGCTGTTCTTCTCACTACTTTTCCAGGTGCTGATAATTTGTGTAAGAGTAAATGTTTCCCGCTTAGTCCCCTATTCTTTTCCTAATAATTCCTGGCATTCCAATAGCTTTTACTAGGGCACACATCCAACATTTTCATCAAACAGTCTGCTGCATATAACTCCAGGATATCTTTCATAAGATACATTGGCTGGTTCAGAGCCATCATTTTATGTTCTTTTAGGGTCGTTCTCCTCATTACTCTGTCTTTATTGATTCTGACATATATCTGCTATTTTATCCCTTGTGACTTAATACGGTGAGATCCTTCTTCAGCTCTTCATAGTAAGCTCTCGTTTTTATTGAATAGCTTAGTACGTCTAAAACTGAGCATTTTTTCCAATACTCTGTTCTAATAATTGCAAACAGATTCTTGCTAAAAGCTCAATGAGGAAACAAAGAAATTCAACTGAACCAAGTATTTCGAGAACTCAGAGGGTTCCTTCTGGGAGTCTGATTAGCAGATTTCCCTGGATTTAGACCCATCCCAGACCACTCCTGTCCTGTAGATGGAGCGAGTCCTGGCAAGAATCAGTTCATAAATCAAGAGAAACCATGGTGCAAGACTGGGGATTTAGCCTCTCCTGACTGCCCCTAGACATCTTCCAGAGACCCTGGCCCGGGGCCAACCTGTCATTCACTCCCAGATCTCCCAACTAACTGTGTTTGACACTTGATATTTTAAAGTCAGAAAGAAACAGATACTGCCCTACAGACGTTGAGATGTAGTGTGAGAGGAGCTGCAATAAAAGATGAAGCCCCAGGATGAGCCCATGAAGCTTGATAATTGTAAGAAGCGAGATAATTTTAAAGTATTTAATCACTGAAGCCTCTCATGTAAAGAAGGCAAAGAGACTAGTGCCTGCAAACAAGCCCACAGATTCCAGGACACGAGCGCAGTACGGGGAAGAGGTTGGGACACACAAACAAGTACAGCAGGTACCACACAGACTGTAGTTCGGTTTTGTTACATTCATTCCTTTGTTATTATTTTTTAAAGAACCAAAAGGTAGCATTCTTATTATACTTAAGGACATGTTTTTTCTGCACGTGTTTCAGTGAGCAAATTCATCTTCTTGTGATTCAGACCAACTGTATGATACACTGCAGCTGGGAGCTAAGTTTTATGGAAGAAGGATAAATTATAT